TAGTTCAACGGACTTGGGTGAGTCTGGGCCAGGGAAGTTTTCGTAATCGACTTAGTTATTGGTGATATATACTTCTTAATGAGGGGCGATTCGAACCCGATCAGAGGTTTCTCGTAGATGTAACCTTCACCGTCGTAGTGATCACCATAACCGTCGTAATCGTAGTTGTTGCCGTAGCCATAGCCGATGTTATGTCCGTAGCCGTAGCTTGCTGGCGGATAGCCGTCGTAGCTACCGTAGTATGACGGAACACACTCTACCGCACATATTATGGCTACGATGGCAGAAAATTGCGCGAACATTCTGTGTAAGTTGCTGACGATTCTGAAGATCGGTAGACTGATAACGGTGGTAGCGATTTAAGTTTATATATAGGTCGTTGTCAAAATTAAAATATCCCTTCTTCGGCCGCAATCTTCCGAATTCAATTACGATATATTTGCAATTCCTAACCAAAACCAACGTCTCGAACAAAACCATATTGTTCTGTGTCAATGTTACGCCCGAGGTTGCCGCTAATAACAAGCTTTTTTGATCGTTTGTCCCGCTTCGGACAAAGGTGTTTATTTGTGTGTTTATTCAGTTGGGTTATTATATGTTTCTTGAGAGATTCGCTTATTCGCACGTTATAAACGAAAATTTTTGGCGTGTTATACATAAAATAAAAAAAAGCCAGAACTGTTTCTTTATAACTAAACCCATTCTATAGAAATTTTTTATTGAATTGAAAAATTCGAAATAGACATAATCGTTTCAAGTGGGACAAAGAAAAAGAGACAAGGAGAGAAAATGGTCGGAATATGTACACACATCTGTAATGGTGTTCCGAAACATGAGAGAGCAGCAAAAACAGTGTCAATACTTATAAAAAATAAATGGAAAAATATACACAAGACAATAAGAACACGAGAAGAATATTAGACAGCAGGTAAAACAAAGAATTCTAATAGAGAAAAACGAATACTGGTAAAGATTATACAGAAACTTAGACAACATGGAAAAAATATATTAGAAGCAACAATGACCACAAGGATATTGTACAAATGATTACACCTAACGAGTGGAAAGAACACTAGCCGATGTTATTGCAAGAAAATCGACAGGAATATATACAAGACCTAGAGACAACAACGACACCAACGATAGGTGAAACTGAAATCATGAAAGAAGATATAAACAAAGCCTTAAAAAGGCAAAAAACAATAAAGCACCTAGGCCAGGAAATATGAAAATGGAGTTGTTGAAATATAGAGGAGAAGGTATTTTTCAATAAAGCATTATTTAATAAAATTGAAAAAGAAATTCCGAGAGAATAGAATGGAATGGAACACAAGCCTTCCGTATATAAAAAAGGAAATAAGAAATAAGTCAGCCAGCAATTATAGAGCAATAATAAAAGAAAAAATAGAACTACATATGGATGATTTAAGCGAAGAACAATCAGGATTCCGAACAATATATTTTCATTCACTTAGAAAAAACGTACTATAATGTACGTAGGAAACAATTATGGAAAGCTATGAAAGGAATGGACGTTGGAGAAAAATGGATGAATGTAACGAAAAGATTACAAAATGATACAAAATGGCTAATAAAAGTAGGCAACGAATTAACGAAAGCAATAGTCATAACAAAATTATTTTATCCATTAAAAAAAAATTACATTTTCTCTAAACAGTTAAACTATGGAATAAACTATCAAAAATAAAAAGTCAAGTAATAACAAATTAATATTGTTTAATAATGTTAATAATAATGTTACTTTTTACACTTGTTAAACTTACAGGTAGTGAATGAAATGGGATTATATAAACCTATGTTGGCTCTGGTATTAATCATACTTATCATCATCATACTTATATAATATATTTTTTTTTATGTAATTATTGCATTTTATTGACATTTGTTTCGGTGTGCATTCCCCATTAGTTAAGTAATTCCTACGCTTAAACAAAAATGAGGGGTAGAACTGTGTAGATATTTTTTTCTGTGTGTTCACGGCAATTTAGTTTATCGTATATTATTATTCCTAGATATTTAAATTTTGTAACTTTCTCGAGTTGTATATTTATATCATTTATATTTTGTTTTGTTAATATTAATTTTTAATTTGTTTAGATACAGTCAATTCACATATTTCTGTAGGTCATTAATGATTATTCCGCATATCTTCTTTTCAAAATAGAGCAGTATCATCTGCGAACGGGCTTTAAGGTTCAAGGACCGAGCCCTGGATTTAAGTGGACTATTTACGTTGTTTACTTCAACGCATTGAAATCTAGTTTCAAGATAAGTCCTAATAAGATAGAGCATTATCCCTTTAGCCTATGCAATGCAATGCAACGTTCAATTCTTTATTGTCCGTTTCTTCTGCTTTATTATAGAGATTTTCAACTGAACATTGGCAGTTATTTAACTTAATTGGGTAATAATACGTTAAATTGTTGAAATCAAAGGTATTGTTTTAGAAGGAAAATAAACAGAAAATATTTTAGACACTGCTTTAAGACTGTTTCCTGCCTAATTATGGTTAGCTTTAATTAAAGCGTTTTTAATAGAGTGTAGCAATCACACAAATATATTCTTACTGTCACTAATTTTCATGTCGTCATTGTCAAAATGTATTTTACCGGTGTTTGATTTATTATATACGCAATAAAAATTTTCTTATTTTGTCCTCATATTTAATTCAATAACTGAAGATTGACTTATTAAAATTTATTTTAACTCGGTATATGAGTTAATCATAGCGGCCCCTTCGGCAATCCATCTCCGGTTATAATAAACCAGATATGGAGTATATTTTTTATCGATGTTTCTGCGTATTTTTTGCTAAAATTAAATTATAACAATCATTTATAATTTAAATCCGTTTAAAAAATACTGTTCACCTATTCTACTTACGTAAATTAAATATTTGCCGAGGGACGTCAAAGAATAGGTTCATTGCCGAATTTTTGCGGTTATTATCCAATTTTGGGTTTTTTATGTGTTGTTCTGCTTGACTTGGTACAGCAGTAAAGAGCGATATTATCTACGAAAAAAAATACAATTTTACGCGCACCATTAAACTCTTAAGGTTGCACGTAGCGTTATACAGAAAGTTCTTAGCTTCAAAAATTTGTGTTTGTTTTATAGATCAATTTTACAAACTTGTCTAACCTAGCAAATGTTTTAGAAAATGGAAAATCACTTTAACAGTTTTTCTTTTTTGGATCTTCTGATGTTTATATTATACCGGTAGTTATCCGCATGGTTGACACTTGACCGACAAGTTTGCACTTTCAAATATTAAATAACACTTTTTAATGTTAATAAAAAACTGACGTAATAAAAAACATTGTTATTTTAGTTAGAACTCACGCCGTGGGGTCTGATGGGATTGATAGGAAGATGATATTATACTTTATCCCCCAACTTTTGCCGCATATTACTTATAATAAGTGCTTGTCTACTAACAAGTTCTTTAAACTCTGGAAATACGCTAACGTCATTCCTGTCCCTAAAACATCTCAACCGCATGATGTTTCTCAATTATTATGTATCGACCTATTAGCATTGTCCCTACTATATCTAAAGTGCTAGAAAAAGTTGTTGAGAAGCAGCTTGGAGATTTTATGGTTCGGCACAATATTCTACCCCCAACGCAATCGGCCTTTAGGGCACATTATGGTACAAATACTGCTCTTTTAAAAGTTTGTGATGATATATTTCGGGCAAATGATGCAGGCCGGAATATTGCTTGATTGTAGCAAGGTATTTGACACCCTGGACGACCGATTGCTCTTTGCTAAACTGAAATACTTTGGTGTCGGGGCTGGTGCGTTGCAGTTTTTCAAAAGTTACTTTTCTGATCGGTGTCAAAGAGTATTCTGCAATAAAAGCTATTCCAATTATGTAAATATTCCCAAAGGTGTAGCACAGGGTAGTATTTTAGGTCCGGTGCTGTTTTCCGTTTATACCTCCGACTCCTGTAAGTTTATTAAGCATTGTTCCTCCCATCGGTACGCAGACGACACTTAGGTATCTCTCTCTTTTAATTACTCTCAAATTAATACCGCCGTTAATAATATAAACAGTGACCGTGCTCTCAGTGATATTTCTAGTAAGCACGGTCTGTTACTTAACGAAAATAAGACGCAACTCATAATTTCTGGTAAAGATAAAGGAAAAATAATTAGTCTAGACGCTGCAAAAATCTGGGTCTGCATTCGGATAATTATCTGCGTTTTGAAGGTCACGTAGCTTCATTGATCCAGAAATCGTTTTACAAGCTTCAGATTCTCTACTAAAACTTACCGATTCCTTAATTCTCTCTAGTTTACTGGCCCGCCCTACTTCAAAAGGACAAGGTTAGTCTTCAGCGTCTTTAGAATGCCTGTCTCAGATTCTCATACAATATTCGTAAATTCGATCATATATCTACTAGCCTAGAGGAGTCTCGCCGGCTAACATTAGACGAACGTTTTAAGTCGCAATTTTTAGTCTTAATTAAAAACGTAATATCTCTCCAACGTCCAACGTATCTTTTTGACAAACTTACTCGTGGATCAGATATTCATTCGGTTAATACTCGCCATAGGGGGCTGTTTACCATTACCTCTCCAACTTAGATCAATCACCTCGCTAACTTCATTCAAACAAAAGCTTAAGCAATACATTCATCATAAAACTAGTAACTATCAAATTGTATATACGTATTTATTTTTTGAATTTACTCTAGCAGTATCTACCATTTTGAATAAATGCCTATATAATTTATATGCTATATTTTATTTTATAAATTGTGTCATATACTCGTTTTAGGGGGAGGCCGCCCCCACAGTTATATATTTTGTGAGATATCTCCGTCAAAATCGAATAGAGGCCCTTTATTATTATTATTAAATCCGTCCAGACAACAAAATTGGTAACTGCCTTTTTTTAATACATTGAAAATTATGAATCTATTGTCTTCAGTAAAAAATTTTTTTGTTTCGTAATAAAAATGGTGACTTTGACAACTAAAATTTGATTTTTGTTGTAAAATTCTGATATCTAACTACGCACAGAAGATTGTCCATGAAGGCGACACCTCAGATAGAAGCCGACAAAACCTTGCTGAGATTCGCAACCTATGAAGACTATCTGGATTCGTTGGGAACTCCTCAAGATGCGTGTTACCTGCAAAGCGTCGAAACAGCCAGAACCATAGCGAATTTAGGTACAAATAAAAGATTAATTTGATTACCCTATCATCTTCGGAATTATTTCATTAATGATAATAGTGGTACTTATTTCAAATTTGTTACAAAGTGAAACGACGTCAAAGAGAAGTAATGAAAGTGTCACATAAACCTGCAGAGAAAGACTTAACAGCCTAGGTTCTTAAATCAACAGATTGTTCTAGATATTAATATTTACATTAATAATAGATAATATTTAGATTAATAAATTTATCTATTTAGAACAATTCAGTATACAACGTACTTTGTATATGTATAACTAACACGGACATAACATCTTCCCTTTGAATATTTAAACACGTTAACATCTCTTAAATATTGAGGTTTTCGTACCTCTCTCCTAGGTCTTAGCCGAAATAGTTTACTTACTTTACTTAATTTGGTATATTAAACACAAAATCTGATTTTATTATTTCTTGTACCATAAGAGGATTAACTAGTGTTAACATAACATAGTATTTTTTTTTAATTTTGAATTTTTTTTGTTATTTTTTATTTCAGAAAAAACGAAATTTCTAATAAATAACTATTAACTTGTACTATAACTTCAATTTCAAGCATATGTACAGGGTTATTCAATTTCAATAAAACAAAATTCGTGAAAAATATGGCCAATTGGTTTAAATAGTGTTATAGGCCACATCGACAGCTAGAACTTTTGTATTTACGGTTCTCGTAAATACATACCCTGTTCGGGATATTTGAATAAACCGAAATGAAAATCACCATTACAGGCCCTCAATCACGTCATTTAGTATTACGACGTACTGCATGGTTTCAGAAAACAAGCATTTTTTCCAAAACCATTTGCTATATTGGAAAAATTCATATACCAGGAGAAATAGGAGATTATTTACTCCTACTTTGTTTGAATAATATGCAGGGTATGTCATTTATGGGCAAAAAATCTAAAAGATAAATGAAAAACCTTTAAAGATGGGATAATTTTATATGAACAGTTTCGTAAACTTTGTCGAGAGAGTTTCAGGTTTTATCTATCATACAGGGAAATATTTGAAAAAATATCATTGGAATTCGCTATTATTTATAAAGATTTTTAACTTTCAAGTTCGGCGGGACGTGAAAGACACTATTTTTCGAAATCAATCTTCCTGATTTTCATTATGAAATCTTTTCCCGTTAACAATTTTTTAATATAACGAACTTCGTTTTTCTTTAGCTACATTTCTGATTGTATTCTGTGAGAGGCTATATTCTTTCTGAGAGCAAATTTCACAAGCATTATTGTTCGATCCGTCAAGCTTTGCACACTTTCTAGAATGAATTCAAGACAACACGTTCAACACGTTACACCTTGCACAATCTTAAAGTTACAAATAGGACACTAATCATTGGAAATTTCACCATATTCTACATTAACTTATAATGTACTAAGTGTGAATATAAATACATTCTTTTTATGTCTTTTAAGAACGTGCTTTTACTAATTTTCTTTTATTTATTCATGTAAAATTTATTATATTTAATAATTTAATTTTCAGGTTATCGCAGTTCCGGAGAAACATTGACCAGAGGCCAATTTGAGAAAAGACTCGCTGCAGTTTTAGCGTACCTTTATCCCCCGTACAAGGCTTACGAGCTTACTAGCGAAGGTTTGGTAACTCCAGACGCCGACATGATCGTCAGAGAGTTATCGTCTAGAGAGCGAGCCAACAGAATCGGAATCCTATCGACGATTATATTCCTGCGGGCGTTTACCAAGTCCGGAGTAGAAGTGTCGGGGTACATAGACTACACGGATCGTTTGACCAAAGAAAATTGGAAGCCTTTTTTTAAAGGCGCGTGCTTTACGCTTCGTATAACCAAAATTACATAGTCACCAATTTTACTTACTTAAGTAAGAAATAATAATGATAATAATATACATCGGAATGAAAAAAATCAAGAAATTTGGTTTCTTTAGAAATGATTACTTCTTGTAAGAATAATTTTTGTGGTAAGAAAAATCAATATAGACTAATGAAATTCGGCAGGGCCGCCACTGGTGTATTTAAAAAAAATAGGGGTACACTAAATAATGCCTTACTATACATAATAAATGTGTGCCATTACACATATTACAAAAATATATTTTAGTTTTGAAAACTTTCGCACCTAGTATCTTAAAACTTAAAACGTAGAGGGCATATGAAGTTTTCTTTTTAACATGGACCCAAAAATCCCAACTTAATAGTTGACATTCAATTAGGAAACACCTGACATCTAATTTACCACTCCACACAACCGGAGGATTCTAGTTCAACGTAGACTAACGAATACTCGCTTCACATATAAAGGTTTATCATATAAATTCAACTACAGTGAACTTTGTACTGCATGTAATCTCCACGATAGTATGTTTAAAGGTGTGGAGTTTTCTGTGGAAAAACTGGATAATCTTACACCTAGAACAGCGCAGGGCTGATGTCTATTCCAAAATTTAGGTCGTATCTTATTAATCAAGAGTTTTTTAACTGTTTTCAGGAAAACAATTCACAAATCATGGTTAAACCTATTCTTTTGTTGATTCAAGACTTGTAAGAAAACATACAAACTTAGACTTTGTAAACTGGGCAACTTAAAACTTGCAACATTGAAACACTAGCCGACCAATGTTGCTTTGGTGAAGATCCTGCTTTGAATTTTTTTATGACATATTTCAGGTTTAGCCAGACTGATGCCCAAAAGAACGGATTTGGGTTTTTACCATTGGAAGTCCGAAGACGTGGTGTCCAACGACTCGTTAAACTACAAAGTGCTGCAGCACCCACAAAAAGGCCTCATTTTCCAAAATCGGTTCGATCGAAAGATTATCAACCCGGATCCAGAGGCTCATCCCGGATCCAACACCTCCAGAAAGAGGATTTACAGTAAGCACTGCGAGTTGTGCATCTTGTTCGACCACGTTGTCAGGCAAAGAATCTAATAATACATAAAATTTGTTATCGTGTTTCTTTATATTAGATAGGTAATTTATTCACTAAGCCCAGCTCAGTATATCAACTTTTGCTTCTGAAATGAACAACCCTCTATATTATTACATTTTTGGATTCTGCGAAACATTGTGGAAAAAGTACCAAACTATGGTATATGAATTTTCACCGGTTTTCGAGTTATAAGTAAAAAAATCACTATATTGCAATTAAGGTGAATTAAAGTAATCACATTTCATCTAGGTTTTGGAGGTTCTCTTTTTCGTAGGTTTCGAAAATATGCTTCAATTACTTAAAACTTTTTCTCATAAGTTTGTGGCAAATGCGGATTTTGTTCATTAAATCTACTGCAAGTTCTTCAAACAATTCTCAGACACTCCCCATAAATGTAAAACAAAACTGAACATATCGGCATCTGCATAATTATGTGCAGCTTGCGTTTTCAAACAAATGCAGCTTTTATCAGAATCAGAAGTTCGAATGCATCTAGACAGATACATGACACATGATATTTTTAAAAGGGGAATGCTTGTTAAAAACAGATAGCAGAAAATTTTTAAAATTTCATCCCACTGAGCTAAATAGAGATCTTGTACGAATAAATTAATATTACAATTAGTATAGTCCCTATGAGTAATAACTTTTGGCTGTGAACGTGATTTCTCTATTTTTAAACAACAGTAAACTAGACCGTGATCAGAAACTTCACCCACTTCTTTGTTGCATTCACACTTATGCTATGGCACGGTACTGTGGGGTGATTCCTCAGCTGCTGTGGAGATTTTTAGACTGCAGAAAAGGGCCATTCGAGTAGTTGCTAATATAGGATATAGGGACCATTGTCAACCTTATTTTATAAAATTCAAAGTGATGCCCCTTCCTTGCATCTATATCTACTACCAGTTATTAAAGAATTCCTGCAACGTCATTGTTTTTACTCCCTGCGAGCATGCATTGACACTGTCACTGGTATCGATGCGCTATAAAACTGTATAGTACTGTCTAATTTTGTTTGTATTAGATGTGTGTTTTTATGTTATTTATTAATTTGATTTTATTGCACTTGAATATCACTTCTGACTTGCTCCAATTGTACGTCCCTTTGTACGAAACGTAGTCAATAAATTAATCTATCTATCTATCTATCTAACTTCCCTAACTATTTGAACAAAGTTGTAATTTTCAAACAGTTTAGTTAGAGAATTAGTGAAGTTCAATAAATTAATATTGAAATCAGCCACACGAATTATTTCATCTGTATCCGGTTAAATGCTAGAAAAAATATTGTCAAAGTCGCTTGCTATAGCATTAAAATTTGTATTTGGGGGGCGATAAAATACGCAGAATGCATAGTGTTTATTCTTCAGCAAGATGACTAAGATTATAATCTGACACAACATCTTCCATGAAAGTGGGGACAAAGTCGATTGAAGTAACCGAAAGTTAGAGTCCCCAGCATATAATTTAATAATTTAAGTAATATTTAATTATTTAATAATTTAATTATATAATTTATTTAATTGTTAACTAAGTAAGGCATATTTAAGACAAAAAGTAATTCACACTTTTTAGAAGGCTCTTTGCTAACTTAATTTCAATAAGTTGTTTTCTTTTCCAAATAAATAAAAAGATATTCAGACCAGTTAGTTTTTGTTATAGCGACTGCATCATTTAAGCTGTGAGTCACTGTAGGTACTCACTGTTAGTACTTCGAAAAATAGCAGATGCTCTGTACTCACGAATTTTAACTAAGAAGTAGGTACTTTATTTTATTCATATCACCCAATGTTTCAATAGACACCTTCAACCGACTTGAAGTTGTAGGGGAATACGCACCCGCGTTTGCCGGCATTGCACAATAGCAATAAAAAACGCCATTTTCACAACGATATTACTTAAAAAAAAACGACCGCATTCAAATACGAAAAATGTTTCTTCAATCGTCGTAATTGCCGTTCCATATACTTGAAATTTGACGGTCACTATTGTCGGCGACGCGTGACGCCGCTAATCCTTTTTTCTCACATTCTTACGAAGCAATTTTCATCGACGAGATTTTCTTTGTCCGACGTGAACATTGGGCAATGCCATAACGAATCCTTCGCCGTATAAATACCCTCGTCGGCGAAGATTTCGGTACAGATAATTTGCGTAGTTCGAGCAGAAAACAGACTCGATAACATGTTGAGGCAAGTAGTACTGTGTGCCATAGTATCGGGCGTATTATGCGCACCGAAACCCGGATACTTCCACGGAGGTTTGGCGGTACCGGCGGCTACAAGTTATAGTTCGAGGATCGATATTCACGAACCCGCTTTGGTGAAGACGTACGCGGAAGCGCCGGTGATCACCAAGGCGGTCGTCGCCGCCCCCATAGTGAACACCGTGATCCCTTCTGTTGGGTACCACGAACCTTTGGTCGCCGGATACGGGTACGGGATCGGACACGGCTTGGACTACGGCTACGGACACGAATTGGGCTACGGCCACGGCTTGGGAGGACACGGATATAGCTACGGCGGGTTGGGATATGGATATGGCCACCACTACTAGACCAACCGCAGCTGTTAGTATAATTTTCGATGTACATATCGTTGTAACATATCGACCTCCCGCGATTTCTTTCGTAAAATAGATTTTGATACTCTGAACGAATTGGTGTTTTTTTTGGAAAATGGGAAATGGCTTAGATAATGTAAAACTTAAACAGGGTGGATTGGAACAGAAAAAAGCTATTTTTGAATTAGATTGAGCAAAATCGACTTCTACGGTCAACGCAATTTTTGGACCTGAGTTCTATATGGTAAATTTCAGTTTGTCTTAAAATAAAAACAAGGTACAAAAAAATTCTTTTAATTAAAGTTTGGTTTTCTCGAAATTAGAACAATTTTCAATTTTTTCGGCAATAATCACTAAATTTTACGGTGTTTTTTTATAGTTTTACTTTAAGTTATGGTAAGAAACGTTTTTTTTTATTCAAAATAGGTGCCTGAAAATTAATATTTTGTGTATTTCGTTTATGTTCGTATGAGCTTTCTCTGATTAAACCCTAAATGTAATACCCCATCATATTTTCGGTGTACCGCCCTTGATAACACCGTTCAGAGTCCATCTTGATAAAAACGTTCTCCTTGTTCTCCGGAGTAGGTCCCTAAATTCATTTAGTAATTTAAAATGTAGCAACATTATGGAAAGCATAATCTAATAATATGTTACATATACAATACTATTAAAAAATAATTTAACCAATTACGGAATTATCAAAGAGCCAAGGTAAAATTAAAACCACTTAAATGAATAACAAGGAATCCGGGAATTGGAAGTTTTGACTACTTTTAAGATAAATTTCTGTTTTAAAGGAAATTAAAGCTTTGAAATGTGTCATTCTTTTATATTTTAACTGGTTGACTTTTAATACGTTGAAGCTAGGTGGTGGGTATGAGGACAAAAACAAGAATTTGGGGGTATTTTGAGGAATGGTAGAAGTTATGAAGAAGCTATAAAAGTTGTAAGAACATCGCAAAGAATTACGGAACATTTAATGGAATTGGTACTAGGAGGCATTATATGAGAATGCCTTTCGGTATAGATAATAGGATAATATTCTTACCCTTCGATCGTAAAGGGATTTGTGGATATCAAGTTTGCCACCTCCATCCTCGCCCACCCGATAATTAAAACGAAATTTACTGCAAAAATCAATACCTCTATTTAATTATGAAAAATCACAAGTACAATATCGGGCAGTCTACCAGTCGTACCCGTAGCCATGATCTGAATAACCGGAGTACACTGGCTCCGCGATATTGGCGATTACCGGAGCACCGTAGCTTTTCACAATAGGTACCGCGTGGTTGTGGATGTCGAAGCGGTTGCTATAGCTGGTCGCCACAGGAAAGGCCAAACTTTCGTAGCCGTGCAGAAACCCGGGTGCCGCCCTCGTGCCGGCCACAACGACGAGTACGAATACGAAATACCTCATCATTGTAATAACGTAATATTCGAGATGTGACTGACGACGGTGCAAAAAAGCCGTGCGCTTTTATAGCGGTACAATTTTTGAAACAATCGTTGCTCAATTTTCCACAATAAAACCAAGAATGTGCACGGTCGGCCGTGAATGTTTTATTTTGACTGTGGGACCAAAAAAACATTTCACGGTTTGTTTGTCAAGTATTTCGTATTACGTTATTAATTAGTGTTTATTGTCTGGGCAGGTCGGACATTAAGAAATTGCCGTACCGAAAATGTCGTTTATGGCCCAATTTAAACAGGAAAAGCTATTAACCATTTTGACGTAGCACTGATATCGTCATAGGCGACCTGATGTCGTGCGTTCGAAAGTGATGAAATAAGGTTATCTACGCTGCATTAAATTACGTGAAGCCTTCATTTTCGTATAACAGACTAAATAAAAGTGGTTCCCTGGAGTTTATTTCATTGAATATTAAATTGCAAAATATTTGTTGTGTATCGCCCTCTTATTATATTAGGTTTTTGATCACTTGCAGAATTTATACACTTGACAGTCAAAATACTGAGGTCAACTTTTTTAACAGCTTTGTAGATTCTTTGGGTATAACCCAACTCATCTAGCAATCAACTAGAATCGCCCTGTCTACATTGTAACTAATGATTTTGTCATACATAAACGGGTAATCCATGTTGATAGTCTAAGTGACTATGATCTTGTTGGAAACTTAAAAAAACCGTGGATTAATATTTTTGATTTTGAAAATGCCGTAGGTAAAGTGGAATTTGTGAGTATTTTAATGCTGCTGCATTCACATGCACGATTTAAAACAATCCTAGTGGAAAATTTCACTTTAAGTTGCAGTAAAAGAATATTTAAATCACCGTTGGGTAATTTATGCGGACCTCAACCTCAGAATTTACATACTTCGTATTCATGTTCCGATTTTTTGAACACATAGACAACTATTTAAGTAAGAAATGATGATAATAATGCATGCTGTCATATTAACGATATTTACGTTGTTAAGCGTAAACCGACATTAAAAAATATCGACAAATTAAATTTCTTTAGAAACGGAGAATGTAAGAATAATTAATTTTTATTTCAAGCGAAATCAGTGGCATACTATCGATGTCTGTCAAAATATACAACTGAAATTTTTAAAAAAATGTTGTTCCCTCTTGATACATAGTACATGTGCGCCAAATTTCATTAAAATATCTAAAGTGATATTACAGATATTAAAAAAGTTTTTTATTTTTTTAAACTGAGCCACCCTATGTTTCAAAAGTTAAGGCGCCCTGGACATACGTTCATATGAAGGTTTCTTTTTAAAATAAGCCCAAAAATCGCATCCTTAATTCAATTAGAAAACACCCTGTATATTTAACGGGCATGCTCTCAAAAAGTTGGCCTAACGTCGTCGCACGTCTGTCATTTTAGGTGTGGTCTGTTCATAGATATAAGAAAGTGACTTTGACATTTGAACATACAATACTCTTCGATAGTCCGTTGAAAATCAGTTGGTCACTTTCTTATATCTATGAATAGACCATATCCTTAACGTATAAAATGACGCTAACATCAAAGTAACCCAGATAGTTGATTAATATTGAAACTTGTACAGCAAGCACTAATCTAAAAAATTGAAAATTGTTTCTTTAACAGTAAAAACCGAGTTTAAAAATTCAAACTAGAGACGAGGAATTAAATATAAGCGCATTAAAGTATACACAAGAATTGTAAGCCAGCTTATTATCATTATTATCAAAAATACATATAAATAATGCAAACGTGCTCTAGAAGATCGCTATCGGCCCCTCACCACCCATATCCGTAGTATCCGTATTTTCCCCACCATGGGTAACCATAGTAGGACGGCCAGTAGGAGCGAAGAGCGTAAGCTGGAAGATAGGATCCTGTATAAGTTGAGAGCACTGAAAAAAATGGAAAAGCAAGGTCAGTGGAGACGATCCTATTACAAAGACTATTTTGGTCAGTTTTCAAAAATAATCTTCCGGATTAACGATAATAATTGTAATTATTATTATAACCCGAATTAAATTTCGTAGCAAAGAACAGACAATGCCAAGAGTGGGACAAGAAGTACCTATTTAAGATTTTAAAAAGTTAGTGATTTTTACAGTACGTAGCAAACCTATCGAGATCATTCTGGAGTTCTCAATGTCCGATTGGGAACGAAATTCTTTAAGTCATCCTCCAATGTGACTGTTGCTAAATGTTGAAACCAATTTCAAATATTCAATAGAAAGGATCCCAGGGGTGACGCCGAGGGGCTCCAGACATATTCCCATAAAGTGACTTTTCACCGTTCACAACCCCAAACTATGGGTTGTAAGTTGCCGCGCACACCTAAATTTCCAAGTTTCTTTACCAGAGTAGGATGATGAACCTTGTCAAGAGGCCTTAGAAAAGTCAACTTCAACAGATGTTATTACTTGTGAGTGAGAGAGTGGTACTTGGAATTTAGTAATTTAACTAGTACGGTCATACTCAGCGATGGATTCATGTTTTTTCTGTGTAATAATGGATCAGAGTGTTCCTTAACGATATTCGAATATTTAAGTAGATTAATCTACATGAAAAAAGAATGATAAATTGTTAAACAAACTATTGTCCGGAAACTCTGTCCATGCAATAAAAATTGAAACTATACCAAAGAAATCGGAAATATATATATATATATATATATATATATATATATATATATATATATATATATATATATATATATATATATATATATATATATATATATATATATATATATATATATATATATATATATATATATATATATATATATATATATATATATATATATATATATATATATATATATATATATATAGCAAGCATAAATATACAAGTAAACCATATTTCGTTGTTCGTTGTTCGTATTGTTTGTATAGCTCCCAAGAAATGGAAACGAATAAGACTAATATCATCTTCCGATGAATCACTTAGTTTAAAAGTGAAATCGGAACCCTTACAAATGGAAGAAAGCAACGAGAAATGCAGAAAAAACACAATAAATAAACATAATTATACACATATAAGAAAAATGAAAAGAAATAATGTAGAAGAGTATGAGACAAAAGAGTCTAAGCATAAATGGATTGGGATATGAATACAGGAAAGTTAATTTCAATTCTTTTTGGAAATGGCAAAATGGCTGGTTCATTTAGAAAAACAGATGAAGATAAGATTAAAATTTTAATAGAACATATTCAGAGTTTTCCAACAAGTGAGAGTCATTCCACGATATCACATCACACTTCAGGTCAAAAATGTCTAAATCAGGGCTTAGACATTCGAAAAATGTATGTGAAAAAATATGATGAACGTAATACATCACGTGTGAAGGCGTGTAGTTACCAGAAAATATTCGATACGGAATTCAACTTAAATTTTCATACTCCTCGTAAAGACACGTGATGAAAGTGTAATTCGCTGAAACTAAAAATTGAAGCATCCAGTAATGACGAGAAGTTGTATCCTAACCGAACAGGCTAGAAAAAGTTTAACAAATGAAATACAAAAAGCACAAGAAAACCGAGTCTTAGGGAAACCAATGAATTCAATGATGATGGTAGATCTTATTTAACTGTAATTAAAACAACATGTTGAAATAAAGAATTTAATTAATTAAAACTTTTGAGTTGTTTAAGTTCATAGAGGTTGAATATAAATATTTGAACAAGAACTGTATGCTATAAATAGGTTAATGCTTTTTTCTTATTTCTTTTTAATAAAATCCGCTATTTAAATCATTTTAAATTTAAGTTAAGCAATAGGTGAAAAATTGATTTACTTTTAAACACCCTATGTGATCGCGTACCCTGTATTATCAACTCTATAAATGATTTGCTTTACCATTTTTCTTCTTTTGCGTTTTATTTTTTATACCAAATGTTGAGTATCACTTTCACATAAAAAAAACCGTGTACATAAATTCGATTTGGGTTATGATTAGACACCAAAATTAATTAAAAAAAAAGTTGTTGGGGTTCCAAAAATTTAACTGAGTATAAAATGAAAACCTCACCTTCATATGGCGATCTGAGGCCCGGTTTGGGTGCGGCCCTAGCAGCACACATGGCAAGGAAAAACAAAAATCCGAGTTTCCACATTGTTCGGCCGGTTTTGCGACTAACGAATGATACCCATCGCAGTCCAGCGCCTTTATAAGTATCCCGCATTTACTAGACATATCAATTATTGCTAATGCAGGTATTTATTGGCAATAAGTGAAAAAATTGCGTCCATTTTGCAACTATTCCCCTATGATTCTAATTATCTAATGTTTTAAAGTACAGTGTTCGGATTTTGTAACGACTTTACTTGAACTTATCGTTATTAAAACAATAATTTTTAATAATGTTCTTGTTTTCAGTTCAATAGCCAAGGATCTCGTGTATTGCGGCTTGCAAATACGCATACCACTTGGTCGAAAATATTATTTTTTTATGGTAATCGTTGATTTTGAAATAAAAAAAAATAAGTTTACGCTAATCCAACCCCTGCTAAATATAATAATAATCATAGTGTGAAAATTCAAAAATTATGTCGGTATTGCTGATTTTAGAAAGAAGGAAAGAACGGAAAATATTGATTGGTCTAAAATCGTTACACACTTGGACGCTTCGTCCTTGGAAACTTATCTCCGTCCAAAAGTTGATATTAACCGAGATACTGGGTGTCAAAGTTGCAGTTTCATTTAAGATTTTTTCAAATAATAATTAAATAACCGAGCTTTTTGCAAAAAAATTTGCAAATCGGATTTTCTTGTATTTTACTTCAGTCTAAAATTAAACTTCTTTTTGTAGTTGTTTTTATTTGCGTGTAATTTTTTTTTGAGTTTTTGTTGTAAAAATATCAAAAAAAATAATATTAATAACGCTGTTAAGGTCTGTTCTACCATATTTTTGAGTATTACGTAATCATGTACTCAAAATTTCAAATTTAAATTTCTGGAAAAAAAGCTGGAAAGTTTAAAATGCACAAAAAGTACCATACGTAGCGAGCTCTACAATTTGCCCCAAAATTAATTACGAAAATGGATTTCTCATGTCAAAATAAACACCGATTTGCGAAAATATTTCTGGAATTATTTAAAAAAAAAGGAAAATAAAATTGCTACTTTGGACTGTACCTTGTTTAATATCAACTTTTGGTCTAAGGAAAATTTCTTGAAATCGTAATACTTCGTAGCTGAAAAATCTGCTATTTTGACATATATCATTATTTATGGATCAGCTATATAATTAAAGAACAACATTTGTTTTGGTTAGTTTAGTGACTCTCATCATTAGATAACCTTTCACATGATGATCACGTTATTTTCGTTAAAGTGAAACGTAGGACGAATAATTGTGACGTCTTTAAGACGTCCTTATTTGATATCGTAAATTCTAACAAGTGATGTTATAAGTATTGAGCTTCACCATAAAAATTCTTTATTATGACCTATTTTAAGTTTTATTTAAGCTTAGAAAATGATTCCAAATTAACCTAAATACAATCAGACAGCTATACTAATTTTATTATGCGTTGATACGAGACTGGTAAGAAAAGTGTTTTGATAAGTTTCAAAAGAATGATTAAACACCAAATGAAATTATAAACCAAAAAAGTAAATATTCTGGTATTTTTTCTTTATGTATTTCAATTGTTTTTCTTTTTCTGAACGGTTTTCTGTTCTTTTGAAATTTAAAACACACTACATATACAGTTTTGTGTTGTTGATGATGATGTCTGTTGATTACTTAATGAAAAAACTGTGAGTTTGGGAATAAGTTCGATATATTTTTAAAAATAACTTGGAAACAATTTACAAAAAAGTAATATTATTTACATTTTTACCTCGAATTCAATGATAAAATTAGACAATGGTATTAAAAAAACAAACAAGTTTATAACCATCTTATGGATAAAAAGAACTTGCTGCTAGGCGTATCCGTAATAATTATGGCCGTATCCGTAGCCTGGCCATTCGTGACCATATCCTAGCCCGTGATATCCATGCCCGAAGCCCTTCCCATATGGTCCGTATCCAAATCCATGGTAACCGTGGTCGAACTCGGGAAACTTTTTGGAATATTTCACTACCGGGATCACTTTTTTCGTAACAACGGGTACGGGCACAAACTCCTTGGTGATATACGGCACCGGAATTATTTCCTTGGTCAAAATCGGCTTCTCGTGCAGATGGTGGTGGGGTTCGAAAAATGTGGGCGCCCCCAAGACGTAGGCAACCGGCACTATGAGAAAAATTAAAAATTTAAACATTTTCGACTGTGGCGAAATTAAATGCGAATTGAATGCTCCTGTTGATGTCCTCGGTATTTATATCAAAATTATTACATAATTGGTTTTGGTTAATTCTAAATCGTTTTCATGGTCCTTTAAAAATAGAAATAAGGAAACGGTCCGCGTGAAATTAATCACCCTTAAAGGAAAAAATCGCGGCGTGAAATTAAAACGAGCGAGTTTTGTCAATTTTGCTTAGCCGGGTAAAGAAAGGGCTCACAAAAAATCGATAGATGGCGCTATGTAACGTAATGGCAATAGAAACAGTGTCGACCACTACAAATTTTTTGAAGAAAAAAGAAAGCATGCCGGAAAAAATGTTTTGAATGCATATGTAAAAAAAATGTTTACCCTAAGTATATAATTTGTTTATAGTATTTTTGTATATAAAGGGTGTGTCGTCGTGCCACGACAGTTACCAACTTTTTTTTTTAAACGGAATTTTATGGATATTTTTAAAAATTCTAATTACTCGCTTGAATTTGTGCATCTTCTGTTATTACGAAGCATACGAAATTTTGAGTAGTTTTTGAGAAAAATGAACTTTTCTATTTCTTGTGGTCATTGGACAAACGTGTTTTTTACAGTTGAAAACTAAAATCAGAAATGATGAAATTGCCTTTTTTCGTGATCGGCAGTCTATTAAATAAAGTAGCTAATATGATATAATGCGGTGCGTCGATTCAAAACACAAATATCGTGTTCATAATTATTTTAATTTCACATGAAATATATTTACAAACAATTCTAATGTTTTTCTAGAATGCTACACTAAAACTAGGAACTTAATGAAACATATTTAACGTCTATTTAGTTTGATTTTTGTGGTCTAAAAATTTCATTAAATATTTTTGAAAATACATCTCTTGATATTAGGACTTTATTTTCTTCAAATCGCAGTAACGCACACTACACCTGACGTCAGTGTTTCCGCGTTTCTTGGAAACTTAGAACAATAAGTAACACTACGCACAAAAACTACACGACATAAGAAAATGAATACACCTGTCTATGAATAAAAGCGACAACTTTATTACAAACTTTGCAGCATTTTACTATCAGTATTTACAATAATATTGCCCCAAGACAGTTCTAAAAACTTCTAAATACTCACTCAATCTAAAATTAACGTTAAACAACTCCCCTAACCCCTATAATGACCTAGGGTCTGTTCTATGCCACGTTGGCACATAAGTTTATTTCTTCCTATGTCTTAAGATAAAAAGATTATTATTATTATGCACTTGTTTTGAATGTCTCTTTAGTTGCGCCATCTAGCGAGGGTCCATTGAAACCTCCGTCGAATTTTCTTAATTTTACCGCGTACCGATAGAGGGAGCTGGAATTTAGCACTATTTAAATATGTGGAAAATTGTTGAAAACAAGAAAAAAGTGCGCTTGGCAAATTGTAGAAAATAGCAAAATTGGGGTTATATGATTTGCATAGATGTTGAATAAGCTGAACATTAGGGATCAAAAACACCCTAGGAAATATTAAAATGATAAAAACGAATGTTTCATGGTTATGTTTTATTTAATTATTGCAACAACGTAATAGCAATAACAATTTTACATGTGGTTGGGGTTCAGATTTATCATGAAAACAGTCTCGCTTATAACAGTGGTAGGTATCAAAAATACAGCAGCGCTATTGGGACATAACCTTCTTCATATACCAGAAAGTTTGTTAACTTTGTTTCTCGCTTTATTTTGTGGTAAAATTATCATAAAACAAAAACGTCGACATGGTGAACTTTGATAAAATTTTCATTCATTCAATATTCTATACCCACCGTCTTTCGCAAATGCCTGGGGGAATTTGAAATGACATATTTGGTAACGTCGTTGTTTTGACCTCGTCACATGGATTGTCATTTTCAATGGTCTATCAACTAACAATTATCCATTGTACGCGAGAGACCCTTTCCAAAATTATGCTGTAGTAGCGATGGGCTTTGAACTGAATAGGTTTCAAGGCGATGTGGATGAGGAACTAATCTGCCCAATATGTTCGGGAGTTTTAGAGGAACCATTACAAGTACGCGGATACACGCTATGGGTTGAATCTACTTAATTCGTTTCGTTGTGTTTTAGGCCCCCGTTTGCGAGCATGCATTTTGCAAAACTTGTATCAGTGAATGGATATCGAGACAACCCACGTGCCCCGTCGATCGTCAAAATGTAACTTCCGCACAACTTAGACAAGTACCTAGAATCTTACGAAATTTATTAGCGAGGTAAGCTATCCGACTCGGTTGTGCAGTTGATATTTTTATTTGTTTCATGACCAACATGTGTAGACTTCAAATACAGTGCGATAACGTGCAGTACGGCTGTACGAGGGTGCTCAAACTGGACACGCTAGCCACCCACCTTGAAGAGTGCGACCACAATCCCAAAAGGCCGCTACCCTGCGAGCAGGGCTGCGGCCTCATCATTCCCAAGGATGAACTCACCGATCATAATTGTGTAAAAGAATTGCGCGCCTTGATTCAGACGCAACAGCAGGAATTTAATGAGTTGAGGTTTTTCATTGCCGAACAGAGGAGGGAAATGCAACTATTGAAGGTAGTGGCAATAGCTTGTTTCTACCTAGTTTTGTTATGGGTGTCAATTGTAGGATTTTATGAGGGCAATGAAAACTTCGAATCCTTCGATGAGAGCAATAGCAGATGCTATGGAAAGGGACGAAGTGGTTCGTTGGAGCAGTTCTTTACAGAGGGCGAGGGTCACTAGATGGGGCGGTATGATATCCACTCCCGATGACGTATTGCAGGTATTTATTTTTAATAGTAATTTTATTATTAACAATTTTGTGTAAATTCTTTGTGATTTTTTTTACACCAGAAACTGTTATGCTAATGATTTTCTTGGCCAATTGTTTATAGCAGAATAGCCTTAAAAGAATGTTCACAAAAATGAACACCAAAAGTTGAGGGGGATTTCTTGTTTAAAATAAAGGATATTTAAAGCTGATGGGTAAGTCATAAGTGAAATGGCGTCAAGCTCTGTGAAATCTTTGTGAACTTATGCAGTGTTTCATTGCATTACTTACATCACTTTTAAATAATAACCGAATTTATTAAATTAAAATTTGAATATGCTACTAAATAACTACTTTTACTTTATTTGTAGATTGGTTCCTTTTTGCATGTTAAGCAATTTGGATTTTTTGGTTGTGGTTAGTTTCATTCAAACAATGTTTCACAAATTATTTCTATTATTTTTTTTATATTGTTTTATGTTTATTTTTATTATTAATATTTTTAAAGTTATAAGGTTTGAAAGGTTCAAGACTTTTTTATTTCTGTTTGGCTTTAATTTTGATATTTTTATCGACAGTAAATTAAGAATTTAACAAAGTACCTACCTGAATGTGTTGGACATACCCATTTCTATAAAGAAAATTACTTCATTAAAGTTGAAGGAAAAGAAAATAAAAATTAATAAACTAAATTTTGAAAATTAAATTCAACAACTGAAAACTTATTTTAATTTATAAAATTTATATTGATTAACTTAATACGTATAGTGATAATTCTCTTGCTGACTTAAAAAAAAGTTTAAAATCTTTAAAATTTGATTATTTTTTTGTTATTAAAATTACGTTTAAACTTAAATTTAAAATTGAAAAATTAAAAATTGACTAAAAACCGCATATAATAAATAAAAAAAAATTGCACAAAATCTTCGTTCTCTTTCTTGTGTTCTTATTTAAGAATCATGGTACCCGTTCAGAGATAAACACTGCTAACTTGGTTATGATTGGACTAGTTTTTTAAAAGAAATTTATGTATTATTATATTTAATGTTCTGTTTTATTAGAATGGGTATTAATTTTGGTTGAATTTGAAATTTTCGAAACAATGCGATTTAAATTTTAATAAAAAAGATATCCAAAAGCGCATCCAAACGGGATAAAATTAAAATTTTACTTGTTGTAGAGGAATTTTAAAATGAAATAAACTTTTCCTGGTGGACCTATTATCATATATTTGTTTTGAAATGTTTGTTGCCATTTTTACCATTTTTCCCGGAACATTTGATGTGATCCGGGCATTTTTGCGAAAATGTCGCCTTACAAAATGTCGTATCTCAAAGAATTTGTCGTAGTTTCTTTTCCTGAGCTCCCATTTTAATTTTCATTCGTGTGTGTATATATATTTTTTCTATTTAAGAGGATGATAAAGAGAACTTTGACTGAAATGGGTTGTCCGATACACATACTAAACGACCTTATGGAGAATTGCCACGAGTGCAAATGGCCTCCCGGGTTGTGTTCATTAGAAACTAGGCAAAACAATAGGAGACAGTACGAAAATTATGTGTGCAAGCGAGTACCAGGTAAGCAATGTCGATTTCGTGGAAACGGAAATTTCTTTTGTCAATATTTAATCAAATGTCGCGAAACCTCTAAAAAATTGACATTTATTTTTTTTGAAAATTTCTTCTGAATTAAAAAAAAATTGTTCATGTGGCACAGTTTTCAAAACAATTAATATGATTGTTTGAAACTTTTAGTAAATTTGTTTCGTCGCTATTTATTCAAAAAAAATCGAACTTGATGGTCTAACTACAGGTGGACCAACCATTATGTTTTCTACGTAACTTTTTTATTTTCAAAGATAAGCTAAATAAAAAAAAACAGTTTTTAAGCAAAAGCAATTTTTTTTATATATTACAGTTTTCTTATGAAGCATCCTGTATATTTTTCCATATTTGGAAACGGGTTAAAATTATGGTGTCAACCATTGGGCATACATTACATTTTGTCTCAAGGGTCATGGAAATATTAATTAAGTATTAATTACTTTTGGTTTTGGTATATTATATAGAAATATATATTTTTCCTTGTGCACGCAAAATAAGTATTGGTGGACGGATGTCAGGTAGCAGTATAGGGTTGTATTGAAAAAATACAAAAAATTATTTAATAACAATTTAATAACTGTAATAACACAAAAAGGACAACCAAAAACTATAAACTATAATATGAACTACACGGGTAGGAAATATCTATTATATATTTCAAAAAATATTTTTTATTTCATAAAAGTCCGCAAATTTTTCATGTCTTTATTAAGCCGAAAGAGAATAAGAAAAAAATTATTTAAAATAAAACACAAGCAAATTAAAAAAATTAAAGAATTATTTGTTTTAGTTAAAAAGTAAGTGATATTTTTTTTTGTATTATGTTAGTATGAATTGCTTAAATTTAACACAATTCGATTGCAGCAACGCTGTTTTTCAATCCAATAGAATTTGATTTGTAAGATCTTAGAATGTCAAGAATTATTCACAAAAAATATCTAAGACAAAAATCCTAAGGTAAGTTAGAGAGTTCAATCTTACCGTAGACTTCACAGTAATAATTCATCTGTGAAAATATTCCTGTAAAGCGTATTTAATAAAAATAATTTAATTTAATTTAATTAACGCATCGAAACGCGCGACTCTGCCTCCATTTGGCCCACGGGTTAAGGTATTTCCTTCTCTCTTATCCGGCGTTAACACTTCAGGTAAACAGGCGGTGCTGGTGCTACATTGCGACAACACGCACATGGGAGAGGACATGATGGTCGAGCCTGGACTCGTTATGATCTTCGCCCACGGGATCGAGTGATAAGAGCAGAAAAAAAAACTATGTCGCTTATTTAAAACTGCTTCGCTGGTCGCACAGAATCTCGCAGGAGTCCGAAAAAATTGGTCGAATTAAAATCTCGATCCAAAAATGAATTCCACTTAGTCGGAACCGGTAATGATAACAATTTTATTCGTTCAACGCTGTCGTAACTACATTAAGCAACCACTTTAGTCTTGGTAAACATTTTCTTTGTAAATATGGGCGATCGACATGGAGATTTTTTTTTCGATGTTGATAGATGTAAATTGTGATTTTAGAACTCATTTTGTTGGTCATTTATGCCTCGAACAATTCGTTGCTCTTATGTTAAATTTCACAAGTCGAGAGGTACAATCGATTAAAGTCACACGATGTTTTCTTCAAATAAATATTATTTTTTGTATTGGTAATGATTTTTGTCAAATACAATTCTAATTTTCACTTAGCGGGAAAAATTAAAGTATTCGCATTAAGTTTTTCCTTTTTTTCCCCATAATTTGTGAGAAAATAAATACGTATTGGTTGTTCCATAGAAAAGAGCTTTGCTTTTTCCGGTACTTGTGCAAAATAAAGTTTTTGGTGTTGATTTTACAAAAAAAAAAAGTGCTAAATTCGGCGATCTCTCCGGAAACACAATTCACGTTATAGTTAAATTTTAAATCATACTTGCACCGTATTTCTTGTAAATTATGAACGGTTCAATGATTTAATGGTACTTATGATTTAAAACAAGGTTGTCCTAAGAAATTTGTTACTCTGAGGTTAAACTTCACCCGTCTAAAGTTGAGAGATACGAGCCAATAAAATGAAACGATATTTTTTCAGATTTTTTTAATTTGTTTAATGATATTTGTCAAAATTGTTAAAGTTTTAACAAGTAAAAAAAATCAATTCTGATTTTCACTTTCCGGGAAAAATTAAACTGTTCAAACATGTTTCCCTTTTTTTCCCTAAAATTTGGTGTAAAGAGGATTAAAAAATATTGGTTTTGCTTTCATAAAAAAAAACTGTTCCCGGAATTTGCGCATATTACACTTAAATTTTAAATCATACTTGCACCATATTTCTTGTAAATTATTAACGGTTTAATGATTTAATGGTACTTAATTATTTAAAACTTCTTTTGTTGAACAGGGTTTTACTCTGAGGTTAAATTTCGCAAGTCGAGAGGTACAGGCGATTAAGTCAAACGATGTTTTCAATAAATTTTTTTTTTTCATGGGTAATGATTTTTGTCAAAGTTGTTCAGAATGCTAATTGAAAGTAACTCCATTCCAATTTTCACCTAACGGAAAAAAACTAAATTATTTTTGGCAAAATGTAATCATACAAGTTTGTCTTTTTTTTCCATATAAAAAATAGTATTGGTTCTGGTCTCACAAAAAAAAGTTTTGCTCTTTCCAGGCAATTAAAGTCAAACGATGTTTTTTTTTCATATTTTTCTTTGCATGGTAATGATGGAACTCCTTTTATTATACAGTTATACAATTTAATTCCGCTTGTTGTAAACTTCTCAAAAGGTATGGGGTTATTTGTATAAATGACCTCACAAAAATGATTTTTTTTTTAAATGTTCATGAAGGTATTTGCGGTAGGCCTTGGAAAAAGGATTTGTCGAATATCTAAACTAAGCCTAAGCCAACTTAGTTTAGTATTAACATTTTATTTGTATCATTTCGGATAGTATAACGTATATATTATTACAAAAGATAAACCAAAACGAGAAAATAGATATTAAAACAATTATTTCAAATGATAAAGGACGCACCCGAACATTCACGAAAATTCAAATTTTCCCGCCAAAAGTGGCTACCTACACACAGTTTCATTCCTCTCCAAAGCTTTCAGAATAACAAGAGATTGTATTTGCAAATTTGCTGCTCGGATATTTCCGATCTAATAGGCCGATTGACATTTTGTACCTATCCAAGTATCTCCAAAAAAAAAACAACCTTTTTTTTTTCAAAAACACGAAATCATTTAGAAACGAAACTGACTACGCACTGAATTGAATTGGATGCGTTTTTCACCTTTCCGACATTTCATAGGATACGAGGGGCGTCGCCAAATTTAAAATTTCCTAAATCACCCTGTATTTTAAAAACTAGTCATGAAAACCGGTCAGTCGCGATAGACTGCGAATTTTTTGGGGCATCCGGTAAGCGAATGTATTTTTATTGCGGTTCATTTGTTTTCGAAATACTTGTTTCTTTTTCGCCTGGGAATTAATTTTTGTGCCCATTTTCGAAAAAATGGTGGTCTGGATTGATCATTAAAAGTATGATGTACATTTCATTCTCAATGGATCCACGTTATTAAGGGCGTTTTAGTGATACAAATAGTGATAATTTTAACGTAATATTATCGAATCGATCTAAGATAAATTGTGGTATTATAGGGGGGAATTAACCATATTGAAGGACTTTAAAAACCGCATTAAAATAAAATGGTGTAATTTTAAGAACCTAACAGATATTCTTCAATATAAGGAAGGCATTTATTGAAACATACAATAAAACACAATAAAAGCCTCATTAAAAATTGCTTGCATCTAAGTATAAGTGAAGTTTAATTAGTAACGACGCGCTTTTGTAATATTATATTATATGTGCCCACTTTAAACAATTTCGAGTCCAGCCTTCATTTGGTTTGTAATTTTAGTAACACTGCAGTAATAAAAATAATAAATCACCTTTATTTCGAAACATAATTACATGGAAATATCTATTTTCTATTTATCTGGTTGTATTTCCACGTGTAAATTAAAAATTGTTCAGTTGAAGTTGATGGAGTTGATCTACATTCCGACCTAAAATACAAAAAAGAATAGTTTTCAAACCAGCCTGAAAACGAAACATATTTTTATTAATATATCTCAAAGCAATACTAGGAGACCTTGGCAATAAAGTTTTATCATTTGCACTATCACTTATACCATCATATAGCTTTTTTGGAACCAAACGAATTTTTTTCCTCTTCCACCGTCAAGGTGTTCCCTTTCGTCGTGTTCAAGGTTAGAAGTAACTTCTAAATCATCTACAGATAATTCGACTCTGCAATCTTCAAAACTAAATAGTTTGTCAGTGTCTTACCTGATTCAAAAAAAAAATCTGTGCACATTATATAAGGACCAGGAATCTTTCTTTGGAGATGCTCCCTGTTTTAATAGTCTTTTCAAATTTGCCTTGTGTTTTGTTGGGTGGTCAAAAATATTTAGATTTTCTAGGGGTTAACCAATTATAATAGACTATAAATTTAATAAATAAATAAATAATTATTAAAAAATGTGCTTACTAAATTAACTAATGTCATGCAGACGCCTTGCTGTTTTTGTTACAACGAACGACTAGACGATGTTCTCCATTTGTTTAACTGGAAGGCTAGATGTTTTATTTCTTTTATTGTAAAATCGTAGAGCATTTCGTCAAGTTTAATAATGAATTTTCATTTTTTGCCGGAAATACCATTTTATTTACACTTGCTTTAGCGACTTTTTTGTTACCTCTCGCATGTCTCGAAAGAGTGAGCCTAAACTTGGCTAGGTTATGCCAGATTTCCAAATATTCCCTCATATAGAACACACAAAATTAGCATGAAATTCAGCATTTTATATTACACATTTTTCCTATAGGTGGCGCTTTAATATTAGAACGGTCGCGTTTGCTAAGTGGTTCAATACAGGCAACTCTTCCCTATCAGATAATCGGAAAACTGCGGTGCATGTCCTCAGAGATCTCTAACGGCCGGGTTAGAAAATCGTTTTCGTCGATCGATGTCGATTTTGCTAGTCAGCCATGTTGTTGTCATAAAAAAATTGAACTTGATGAAATTTTAAGTGTTTTTTTTTTCGTACCAGGTATTAAAAAAAATAGTGACACCCGGGTCGTAATTTTCGTTGTTAGGTTGTTGCGCTGCCAATGTTTTTTTTTTATATATATATATTTAGGTAAATAAACGAATAATTTTTTTACTGTCGCCCTGTTTTATTTCAGTCCACTAAACCAAAGAAAAGGTAACGTAATCGCGAATATTTACCACCTTTTTCGGAAAAGAAAATTATTTTGACGTAAAAAATTGAACATTTAACATTTGGTAAATAACCATCAAATAGAACAGATTTCAAAAAATAATAAGCTATGTGCCAGATACACTTTTATATACACAGGGTGGTGCGGAAATCATTCACAGATCAAAGTTACATATTTTTCAATAGAACGCCCTATATGTTATTCTCTCAGGGTTGGGCTGATTTTAATTAAACTATTTAAATCAGGTGATTTTTTTAATTTATAATCATGATTTAAATCAAACTCATATTTATTAAATCTGTAGCAAGATCTACAGAACTGTCAAGCGACATTAAGAGTACCTAAAAAAAGAAAAACATTAAAACCATAGTTTATAAATTTATATCATTATTAAAAAATGAAAAAGCAAAAACGCACCCAATTTTCCTTTAAAAAATTAGTAAACTTTTTTTTAATACGTATACATTCTTTAAATAAATTATACCATATGAATACGAAATACTTCTATCTATCGTAAAAAGTAAAAACAACTAAATATCTGCAAATTATAAACATTAACATAAATAAAATACCCATGAATTTAATTATCGGCAAGAAAAGTCCAATGGGACATTTTGAAATTTTAATTGTTTTGGAAACGTGTTGTCTAATGTCACATTTCTACCATTTACGAGATAGAAAGTGAAATAATTAATGATAAAAAAATATTATTTACCTACCTGAATTTTTTTCTTGCGAATTTTACGAATCTGCTCTATGTTCCACTAGTTCCACTCATATATATATATATATATATATATATATATATATATATATATATATATATATATATATATATATATATATATATATATATATATATATATATATATATATATATATATATATATATATATATATATATATATATATATATATATATATATATATATATATATTCTCACGTATTGATTCACTGATGGAAAAATGTGATGACACTATATTCCGGGATATCATCCGTTCGCTCGTTGAACTCCGACTGGAATCCTGCATCCCACTGGAATCCTGCAAATCTTGCATCCGACTGGAATCCTGCAGACGTTTCGCCAAAATCTCACTTGGCATCTTCAATGCTCGCGCTCCGAAAACACTTCGAACACTTGTTCGGAGTTCAACGAGCGAACAGATGATATCCCGGAATATAGTGTCATCATATATATATATATATATATATATATATATATATATATATATATATATATATATATATATATATATATATATATATATATATATATATATATATATATATATATATATATATATATATATATATATATATATATATATATATATATATATATATATATATATGATTTTTTACAGCTGTTGCTGTCTCCCTTCTCTCAACCTACGCCTCCATCCATCTCTGTCCTGCCATTCATCTCCGATACCTCTTTTTTCCATAGATTCATCTACTTCATCCCTCCAAGATCTTCTGGGTCTACCCCTTTTCCTTCTACCTATGGGGCTCCATTCTGTTATCTTGTGTATCCACCTATTTCTGTCCGTTCTTCTTACATGCCCATACCGTACCAATCTCTTTTCTTCAATCAATGTTAAGGTATCTTTCTTGACACCCATTCGCTGCCTGATCTCCTCGTTTCTTACTTTGTCTATTCTCGAAATTCTACAACTTCTCCTCCAGTATTCCATTTCAGTGGCCTGTATTTTACTTTTCAATTTTTTGTTGATCAGCCAGTTTTCCGCGCCGTATGTCATTACGCTCTGTACTATGGTGTTAAATATATGTGAGTGATGTGTCTATCCCAGAGTATTGGATTTAGTTGTCTGATACAGTTTCGCGTCTGGCCTAGTCTACTGTTCATTTCTTCCTCTGTTGTCCCTTTTTGAGATATTATGAAACCTAAGTATTTGAAATTTTTAGTTCTCTTTATTTGATGATTTTCATCGACTTGTAGGTAGTTTTCTCCATCTTCTGTTGTTGCCAGGTATTCCGTTTTCGAAAAATTTATTTCCATTCCATTTTTCTCATATTCTTCCTTCAGTTTTCGTAACATGTAACTTAGGTCTTCTTCGTCTTGTGCGAGTACAACTTGGTCGTCCGCGAAATTTAAAGTGTAAAGACAGTCGCCTCTGATTGGAATTCCCATTTGTTCACATTTTTTCTTCCATGGTTTTAAGATCTCCTCTAGAAATATTTTAAACAATGTTGGTGATGTGGAGCATCCTTGTAGCAGCCCTTTTGTTGTTTTAAAGCTTTTTGAGAGTGTATCTTCGATTGTTATAGATATTTGGTTTCCTTCAAACATTTTTTTAACGGTCTCTATTAATTTTTGTGGCAATCCGATGGTCTTCATTGCCTTCCATAGTATCCCCCTGGGTATCGTGTCGTATGCTTTTTTTAGGTCTATAAAGGCTAAGTGAACCGCTCTATTTTTAGCCATTTTCTTCTCTATCACTTGTTGTAATATAATGTAATAATATGTGGTCTATACAAGATCGACCCGCCGTGAAACCTGTTTGTTCTTCTCCAATTTTGCTTTTTATTTCTATTTCTAGTTTTGCCTTTACGAGTTTTCCATATAGTCTTCCCATATATGATATTACGCTAATTCCTCTGTAAGTTTCGCAATTTTTACGGTCGCCTTTTTTGAATATCGCTGTCATATATACAGTTGTCCACTCTTTTGGTAGTTGTTCTCCATTTATTGCTCTTAGAAACATTTGGTGTATCATTCGGTATAGTTTTTCTCATCCGTATTTTATTAGTTCAGGACCAATGCCTCCTGGGCCGGCAGCTTTATTATTCTTCATATTTTTAATGGCCATTTTTACTTCTTCTAAGCTAAGATCTATATCCTTTTGTTCGTCTGATGTTGTCTCCGAGTTTTCTCCAATAAAAGTAGGTCTATCCTCTGTTAGCAGTTTTTTGTAGTATATTTCCCACTTAGTATCTGGTATGTATTCTAGATGTACTTTTTCTTTCCTATTGGTTCTAAGAGATTTAATTAGACGCCAGGATTCTGAATTACGCGTTCCTCCTATATATTGTTCCACATTTTTGCAGGCCTCTTCCACTCGTCGTGTAAAAGCTGTATATTGAACTTTTGTTCTTTTTGTTTATGTTCAAATACTATTTCTTTTTTTGGTTCACGTTTGTTCCATGACCAGGGGAACTCCATTTTCGCGATCAATAACCTGTGGTCTGTGCCGCATTCTGCACCTCGTTTCACTCGGACATCTTTTATTTTAATTGAGGAATTGTTTTTGACTACAATATAATCTATAATTGATCTGAGATCTCTGGTTTCTTGTACCCAAGTGAATTTACGAATTTCCTTGTGTCGGTAGAAGCGATTTGTAATCTTGAGATTATTAAATTCGCATAGTTCGATTAGAGCCTCTCCGTTGGTATTAACCGTATCTTCTCCGAATCTTTTTTCTTTTCTTCCTGTTCTTCCATTGAAGTCTCCTGCTATTATGAGTTCTTGATTTTGTTTAATTTCATCAATTTCTTCTTGTATCGTTTGTATGAAGCTTGTCTTTTCGATTAGTGCACTACTATCTTCCGATGGTCGATATACTCCGATTACTATTATGTGTCTTCCAAAAACCACGATATCTATTTTAATAACTCTATCATTTATTGGTTCTAAGCTTTTTATACATTTTATCCATTTCTTTTTTATTAAGATACCGATTCCGGCTTTTGCTCTTTCCTCTTTCTTAACTCCGCTCCAGCAATAAAGGACATCATCTATAATTT